AAAAAAAAAAAAAAAAAAAAAAAAAAAAAGAAAAAGAAAAAGAAAAAAATCTGACAGTCATAGAAAGGGAGTTTAAACAAACACGAGAAAACACATATAAACCCAACACTGGGCTGAGTGCAGTGACTTATACCTGCAATCCCAGCACTTTGGGAGGCCAAGACAGGAGCATGGTTTGAGGCCAGGGGTTTGAGGCCAGACTGGGGAACATAGCAAGATGCTGTCTCTGCAAAAATAAAAAATTAGCCAGGTGTGGTAGAGAGTGTGCCTGTAGTCCCAGCTACTTGGGAGGCTGAGGTGGGAGGATCACTTGAGCCCTGGAGTTAGAGGCTGCAGTGAGTCATGGTCACACCACGGCACTCCAGTCTGGGCTACAGACAGAGCAAGACTGTGTCTTTTTTCCTAAATGTTTTCCCATAACCCTGATACCTAACCTTCAGCTCTCACAAATCTGCTCCCTAGCAGAAACATTTCTAATCCTACCAATTAAAAGAAATCAACCGTATCTATCTCTGGGGTGGTTCTGGCAGGCGGATCTAATTCTGACTGTGGCAGGCGGATCTATTCTGACTGCAGAGACAGTGTTTCCTCCAGGTGCACAACAGGATGAGAGCTGTATTCATAGCTTATGCAGCCGTGCTGTGAACCAAGCATGGCATCTAAGCACACGAACATTTATCAACTCATCTGACCTCACAGCTGCCCATCTCCAATTACAGAGGCTGGGTTACTTGCTGTGGCCACACAACTAAGAAGCGACAGAGGTGGCTTTGCTCCAGGCAACTTGACTCCGTGGTCCCAGCCGCTTTGGTGCCACCCCATATCAGTAGACATTAGGGGGCGGGCAAGACGGAGCCCATGGAAAGCCTCAATTCTTCATCCCTCCCTGTGTCCACAGTCTGCCATGTGAATTTGTGGTTCCTCCACTAAAGAGGTGGAGCCTGTTCCACACCCTTTGATGCCGGGGTTGGCCAGGAGATGTGCTTTGCCAGAAGAAGGTTAGACAAAGCCAGGAGAAGCCCCTTTGTGACAGGGTGCGTTGTCTTGTGCCCCTGCCACGAACACATTCAGCCATACTGCTGGTCCCACAAGGAAGAGGAGAGGCACACAGCACAGAGTCTAGGCTGAATTAGCTCATCTACAAATTCATGAGCTAAGTCAATACTTTGTTGCACAGATTATTGCTGACATTTTATAGTTTGTTACACAGCATTACTGGGGCACCAGCTAACTGATGCGACCTGGTCCCTGTTTCTTTACTACAAACCGACTAGTGTAAATAAATTACACACATATAATCAATCCCACAGTTTACTCAGATGGCTTAAGAATCTGACATATGGTGAGGATATTCTTTTTTTACAAAAGCTGTAAGGTAGGTAAATCAAAGACATGCTCCATTCACTTGAAGAGACACTTTATTTTGTTACAGTCAAGCAGGATGATCTGTTGATAGGTGAGTGGTAAGTGTCGAGCATGAAATCTACACACATTTGCTGCGGTGGACTGAAGGATACAAGCCACAGGCCACCTCCCATAGGCAGAGCCCTCCACAGCCACGCTACAAGAAGGGGAAGGAGCAGCTGCCACCCAAGAACACAAGGGCCAACCATTAGCACCAGATTGCTTTTCTATGAATAATACAACTAGATACAGAGTTATGGATGTTGACTCACTAGAATCTTTGGGTCCCCACTAACCAGACATTTCAGAGGCAAACAGGGGAACTGACGGGACAGCTCACTCTATGTGCTTTGCTACAAGGATACTCGAGCACTATGTATTGCTATGTAGAAGAGAAAGTCCTAAAAAGACATCAAAAGGCTGAGTAGAGACACACAAATTGGATTATTCACATTTTACACACATATCAAAATGACCACAATACTGTATTTGAGGGCAAAGAATAACAGGTAAAAGCTCTGTCAAACAAAATTCTCTGAAATTCCTTGGGTCCTCTCCCTGAGGGAGAAAGATGGGGCTAAGTGCACAGCTAGCTTCACCTTTTCAGACTGACCACCATTCACAGCGAGTGACCACCAGCTGGAGAGGAGGAGGGAGCTTCGCTGGCAGAACAGGGAGTTTTCAAGTTAGCAAGAGCTTAATTGAACAGGAATACACACTTTTGGAAAGACATTTATCCTTCTGGCATTGGTAGGCTGCCAGAAAGGCTGTTTATTGCCTGCATCATTGAGCTTGCCAGTTTGGACTTGGCTCTACAGAAGGCATTACCGCCAACACGGCCCCTCTGGCTCAGGCAGTGTGGATTCCAGTCTTTTAAGACATCTGTGTGTGTGCGTCTGTGCACGCGCACGTGTCTGCTTTGGTAAGGCGGTGGTCACTGTTGCTGACAAAATGAAATCTCCATTTCACTGGAAAACATCTTTTATGGGAATAAGGGGAAGTCAGGATTAAAATGATCTGCTGATCCAACAAATGCCCTAATACGGCCTAAACACGAAGTCACCCAAAGGATTCACTCACCATTAACATGCATTTAATTAAACATTTTTTGAAGAAATACACTGAATCTACAATTATTAGATAAAAATAAGTAAGTTATAAATTATAACCAAGCTGTCGGCGGCTGAACATCTTTTCGTGTGCTTGTTTGCCACGTGTGTATGCTCTTTGGTGAAGTGTCTATTCAAGTCTTTTGCCTGCTTTTCACTTGGGCTGTTTTCTTACTATCCAGTTTGAGAGTTCTTTGTACATCCTGGACACAAACCTTTTGTCAGATACATGATTTGCAAATATTTTCTCCCAGTCCGTGACTTGTCAATTGGAAATTGACAGCATGACAGTGTTTTAATAAACCAGGCTCTCTTTAGAATCCTGCCATTTCAATCAAGGAAATGGATATAGAATCTTTAAACTTCATGGCAGAAAAAGATCAAGCTCAGGAGTTGTGTAGTCCACGGGACCTCTGAAGAGCCAGAGGAAGGGGTCTTCCCGTACATGGAATGTGGCCCTCATGCCACGCTACATGACTTAAGGAGGAAACAATGGAAAAGTAGCCAATTATGATGGACAACCATATGCATACAAAATACATGGGGGGAAAGCAACTGAAAAAATATTCTGTTAGTCTTGAGGAACAGCTAACAAGCACATTACTACTGGACACACTCTTAACCAAAAAATTTTACTTTGCAGAAAAACTGTGATGTTAGGTGAGAAGGACTAAAGCTATTTGCCTGTTTGATGCGTGACTGTGTTTTTTAAAGCATGCACGTTATTTCTTTAAGTGGCAATTTAATCTTAGAATGAGTGAACCTAACCACACAGGTTGTTCCTTTCACAGTTGGTTTTTAACCACTAGGAAACTATTCACCTTTCCAAAAAGTTAATAAATTATCATCATCATGATGATGACTTCTGCTGGGTCAGAGAACATCATTAGATAACAGAGACAAATGCTCACACTGTTGAACGAGCAGGGACAAAACCTGGCAGCCCATGCCTGGATGAATCACAAGAGAAGATGCGCACCAGGGTCCCCCTCTCATGCACGTCATGACGTGCTGGCCGCTGTCCAAGCAGTTGGCTCAGCATCTGAAGACGGGAGGAACAACGGGTTTCCCACTGACAGTGACCACTCGGCATGCACCACAGGCCCAGCCCACAGCCCATGCAGTGGAAACTCACATCCGGCAGAGCCTAGTGTCAGATGTAGTTATGTGTAAAGGAAAATGGCTCTCAGCAATCAAAAGGGAAACTAAAAAATTAAATAAATCATCCCACACAAACACAAAAGTTATTGCTTTTCTAACAGCCTCTCTGCTATAAGAGAAGTCTCCAGGGCATGAACACGGGCGGGGTCTTCGCGAGTATCCTTGGGAACGGAGCTGGAGCTCGGAAGCCCCGTGCCCCTCTCCTCCACGGGGGACCGGTCTCTTATTTGCCCCTTTCAGGCTGAAGGCTGTCGAATAAGCACTTCAGCTGCTCTTCACCAAGGTGGATTTTATCTTCCAGCTCCCGCTGCTCGATGATGAGGGCCGACTTCATTTTCACGAAGTGCTCATAGTCCGCGAGGCTCTCCTCGCTCAGATAGTTGGCCAAAATGTCAAAGACGATGCGCTCGCGGCGGTCCAGGTTCTCCTTGAGCTCCTTGGCGTCCTCGTGCTGCTGGATCAGGACTCTCTGCTTCTCAAGCAGTGATTGCTGTTGACAGACAAACAAGCCTGTTGAGGACCAGGATGAAAGCCGGGGTACTGGCCAACCCTTGAAGACACTGGCAACTTGTGGGCTGGTCCCA